GTCTGGTCGTCGGGAGGCAGGCGCCTGAGGGCCGGGAGGGCCCGAGCTCACCGGCTGCTACGGGACGTGCTGTGGTGGGAGACGGGCGGGAAGAAAGCGGTTACCTGGCAAACAGACGTGGTCTCTTTATTTTAAAGCCTGGTGAAAGACATGATGAGAATGAACAGAAGAAAAAGACAAAATAATAGCCTACCTCATTACAGCAGGAGGCAGTGAATCACAGAGTGACAGAACAAATTAAAATGCGGAGCCTTTAGCGCTCGTGAGAATTGAGAATGGGGGCAACCAATTTCTTCTCATGTTTAGCCCAGGGTGGTTTTTCTGCCTCATTGGAAGGCATAGTTAGAAGACCAGAAGTTCTGATTGCCCTAATAGTTGTAATTTTCCTTTCTTATTTGCAAGTGTGCAGGGCAGGAATTTCACCTTTCTTCAAAAAAAGGAAGCCTGGAATTGAATGTAAACGTGTTGTGTGGGAATGTTACTTGTCTTCCCTTCAACCTGTTCAAAGAAGTGATTTTTAAAAGAGACTTTACATTGTATTAAGTAAAAAAAAAAATACCATACTACCTTATCTTATGAATCAGGTCCACATGGGAAATGTGCTTAGCTACAACAGCAACAAATATGGCACAGATAATGCTACTACAGTGTTGTCTATTTTCAATTTGGAGGCTGAGGTTTTCCTGTACAAATGCTGTTGATTTTGTAGGTGTGATGTGTTTTTGTCTTAGAATCTAATTCTTGTCAAAGTTGTCTAAATTGGTTTTTGTTGTTATGGAATTCAGTTTATTGGCAGTGCCATTAGCACATTTGTGTGGAAACTCTTTGTTGTAATCAAAGCTTCATTAAAATTAATATTTCCTATGTATATTGCTGTATTTTTGCTAGTGGGCAATACTGTGACTCATCTTTAATCAGAAAAATGTCATTAGAACTCATGTTGCAGGCATAAACTGAAGTCTCTTTCCCTTGGGAGCTAAAACAAATTGTGAAAATGTTATTCTAAATTAATTTTGCAATTTAATACTTAAAATTCATCTTAGCATTTTATTTCATTGTAGGTAATTTAAGTGATTTTCTAGCATGGACACTGTTGCTAGCCATAGTTGTCATCTTCTCCAGCAGCTGCATGAACAGCGCATTCAGGGTCTTCTCTGTGACTGCATGCTGGTCGTAAAAGGTGTCTGCTTCAAAGCACACAAAAATGTATTAGCTGCTTTCAGTCAATACTTCAGGTATGTGATAGAAAATTCTTCTAATAATAAAGTGAACTAAATACTGTTTGTTGAGGTTTTCTCTGAGAAGGGCATTTTTTTTCTGGTAATTGCAGACTGAGTAAGTGTTGGAGTGTAAGAGGAAGTAAAATTATTTGTCCAGAAATAAATCTGTATCAGGTATTTAACTAAAAACTGTGGCTGTCCTAATTTGTTTTCTAGATATACATAGTTAACTACTGCACTGTTTGAGTTCGGCATTTTCTTGATCCTTACTTGCGTACAGTACCTCATATAATGGATTCTGGCATGCACCTGCGTTCAGTATTTCATTATGGAAAGATAACTGTTTACAAGAAGCATATCAGAGTACATGAACAGAGCTAGATAAGGGTTATTCATTATTTTACTTTGTTTTAAAAACTCACAGGTGATACTATTTTTAAACCTAACATAGATTTATTTCCAAGTATCTTTTTATTCTAGTGAAAAACAAGACCCAGTCTAACTTTGAATTAACTAATTTGTTTGATTTGACCAGCATGTTTTATTGTATTTCTACAACTTTAGATATGGTTTTTAAAAGAGTTTTTAAGAATTACCTTATCTAGTCAAGTAACGCCATTCATTCCAAGTCCTTGAGATGGCATTATTCCTGATTAAGCTGTTGAATATTTTTTGCCTTTTAGCTGTATTAAATACACAAATGCATATCTGGAAATGGATAATGTGAGTTGTTTAATCAATTATATATTCAAAATAAAATTTCAGTATATAGGTTATTATTGAATCTCTATTTAGAATAGATTCTCAGAGAGACAACATCTATCTTTTAAAGTATACAAGTGGCCCAGGAAGCCACATCACTGGTTTTGTTCCGCTCTGTGTAGCCCTCATTTATTCTCCAAATTTTGGAGGATGCTGGATCATCCAATTTAGTGTTTCATGTTAGTTGTGAGTAAGCTGTTAAGTCTGGCAGTTTTTAGTCTTTGCTTCTTGAAACATCTCTAAAGCTTGACTACCAATTCTTATGTAAGAAAATTATTTTTTTTTATTATGACCAGGGAAAAAAGATGAGAGGTTGTTTTTCCTTTTTCTCTTCTAGTCTTGTAATCCTGATGAAGAAATAAAGTTATGCTCAAAGATTAAATTTTTGAAGTAGTTAGCTAGGCGCTCAACTCTTATTAAAATCCAATAGGGTAGAAGTGACTAATTAATTAGACTCTCAACCCAAGATCTGTTCGTTATAGTTCTGGTTTTAAGTTAGATAGTATGGGCTGGATTTATGAAGGAATTTGGATGTGGGCATTGGCTTTAGAGTAGCTTAGAAATTTGAGGATAGGACAGCTTTAGTATGAGGATGCTTCTGAAGCTCTGCATTTCTGAGTTTAAGCCTAGACTCTCATTTGCTTAAGATTCAGAGCTCATTGATACTATGCCCACCTTTAAACAAAACCTAATTTGAGAGTTAACCCACGGAAAGAAATCATCAAGTTCAGGGCATTTCCTAGTGTAGGAAAAGATCTACAGAGGAGTGACCTGACCCTGTCTATATATCATCATTTACTGTGACAGTATCAGGTTAGAGATTGGGGGTTTTATTGGAAGGGTGTGAAATTCCTGACTGAGGCAGAGTACAAACCCACTTAATCTAGGACTGGTTATGCATATGAAGAACTACAGCTCTGATGCTAAGAATACTTCACGTCAAATAGTAAGAAGTCATGTGAATTCAGACATTTCAAGGATTCAATGACAATTCAGTGGGTATTGGTTGGATGGCTGTTTTAGGCTCATGTACCTGTACTCTTCATTATTCTTTTACTTGGTTCTCATCCAGTACCAGTAAAAAAGAGAGAACTAATGATAAGTCCTTTAATTGATGGACAAGCTCAGTTGCCAGAAAAGGATGGTTTAGCTGCCTTTGAGATCTATATTCTCCTTTTTACTAGAAAATTTCTCATGTCCGGTTTTATTTGCCATAAGGGAAGGACAAACACCTTTCTGATTCTTCCAACTTTTGCAAACAGTCCATAAATACACCACTACACTTAATATATTAAGAACATTGGATAGGAAACCGCAAGGATAGAGTGTGATTTCAAAACATTAAAAATAGAAAATTGAAGTTTTATAAAGGATCATTTCCTTTGACTTATACTTTAAGTGTACTAGCGTAGGACTAATATATAAGACAATTAAGCAGTTTTGAGATGTTCACCTGCAAAAACACAGCAATCTAGATAAGACCATGTAGTGTAAATTGTTTTATACCAGGCAGTCTGTTTGACGTGTATATGTATTTTTTTTATAAAAGTGTTTGTGAATTATTTGTGTTTGAATATTTGCCTTATTTTATTAGGACCCTTTTCCAGAATTCTTCAGGCCAGAAGAATGATGTCTTTCACTTGGACATTAAAAATGTAGGTGGCATAGGCCAGATCTTGGACTTCATGTACACTTCTCACCTGGATCTTAGCCAGGACAACGTACAGGCTATGTTGGATATTGCGCAGTGTCTCCAAGTGCAAAATGTGCTGAACATTTGCCACACCTTTCTAAAATCTTCGACAGCTGTAGAGCAAGCAACCAGCATGCCTTGTAATAGCGTATTTTCGCTGCAGAACACTTTGACTGCAGACACTAGCTGTGCC